CAAACGAACGACCTTTGAATATAAATAGAACCTGAAATAGGCTTAGGCGGCGGCAAACAACGATTTCGGGGAGCCCCAGTTCCATAAATAACAAATTAGTTAGAATCGATTAAGGGAAAATAAATATATAATCTTTAGCCGAAAAACACACTAATATTGTCGGCATTAGCAAGTTTGAAATTATCTCATTCTGAGTTATTCACTCAAGAATTTCTGACTAACTAATGTGTCACATATGAAATGTTACTTTTAATACATAGCATTGGTTTCGGATGAAATATTAATAAGAAAACCCATCTATGATTTATACAATCTTGTATTTAATTATGCAACAACAAAAACATTCCAATTTGTATATAAAAAATTAATATCAGATTGTTTTTTAATTATAAATTTTGTTGAGGCAGTAGCTAACGCCTAAGCCTCAATTTATGTTGCGGTCGGTTTTCTTATCAAGTACTATTTTTGTACCATCGAAAGGAAAGAGCGCGAGTTGAAAAACGAAAACAGAAATAAAACGACAAAGTCAGCACTCGAGTTGCGCTTTTGTAGAGTTGAGTGCACAAAACCCAAAACCCAACCCACAAACGAGCCATAAAAAACCTCGCGCGGTATGCATGTGAAAAATAAAAGATACGAAAAATTATATAAACATTATAGGCGAGCGTGAGTATGACTAAACCGACCGCAACCAACAACTATACACACTTATAACCACCGTCGCAAAAGCGAGAGCAACAACTACAACTACAGGTACAACTGTAGCAATATGTAACAAGTCGGGTGGCAACAACAACTAAAACAACAACAACAACAACAACTAAAACACCAACAACAACTATAACAACGAAAACGAGGGCTTGCTGTCAACTACTTTTGTTTCTGCCTCTTGGGTTGGTAATTTTAATGTTGGTTTTTCGGTTTTATTTTCTGGTTTCTCAGCCATACAAAACTATGCCAAAGTTAACGACAGATTACAATAATCACACATTTACAGGTGCGGTTAAGAATTTATCATTAATATTCTACTCTAATCATCGCATTTACAAGCAACGCTTATTTTCTATAAATTGAAAAAAATAGAAAGGAAATCGACGATTATTAACCGCCATAACAGGAAGTCAATAAGCCTTTTATGTAAATAAAATTTAGTTTTAAACCAGAAGAAATTTATTGCTAAAATAATATTTCTTTTTAATATTGGACTTGTCTTAAGTAAAAACATCTCCATTATTAATGACGTCAAAGTTTGATTCACTCTTTTTAATGGTTATTTTTAATTTGTCATAATTTCTGATATTTTGTACACCCATTGAAGGAAATTCCTCAGAAAAATACGTCAATTCAAATTGGCGAGTTGAATATTTTTTATTTTGAAGATACTGATAAGAAAACATTATATTTGGCCGACAATATTAATAATTTTATAGTGGACTTTTATGTTGAGCTGATCTCTGTAACATTTAAGAATTTGTAAAACATTCATAACAGTTTTTTTTTTTTTAGCATTTTGTGCTAAAATTCTGACCGCCACTGTAAAAAGAAACACTCAAACAAACTTACAGTGGGCGCTGGCAATGTCGTTGGCAACAATTATGCACCTTGTTGGCAATGCCGAGCTTATAAGCTGTCGCTTTGGCTTAGCAAGCAACTAATTGGCTAATTAGACAATAGTGAAGAAAGAGAACCGATTGAAGAGTTGATTTCGATTAGATTCGCTGATACGATAAAGTAACAGGAACTAACCAAATCCGCTGACACAAATACTCATGTTTTGGCATGGAAATGACACAAATAGATTCGCGTGCTGTTATTTTTTCTATTTACACACCCAGAAAACATAATTGTTACCATAAACCTATTTTTGGTGACAATCGAAGCACAAACTTGGTTTTGCTGTGGGCCGCAAGCGGAACCCGATAACAATTACAAAACTATTGAACCAATTAAGTTAAGGCTATTAAAAACAGCAACAATAACAGTGTTTTTTTTTTTTGTGGCAGAAACAAAAAGAGCAAGAGCAATAAGAGTAAAAGAGAGCAAAAGAGAAACAGAAACGGAAACCACAATGGCGACTGATGGCAAGCGAAAAACACTACGAAACGAATCGAAACGAGTCAAAAACGAAACGAAACAGCATTTGCCATATGACCATTTATGTTTCGGCATTTTCGCTGCGTAAACATTTCCATATGCAAATATTAATGACCTTCACTTTCACCTCCCTTGCTGACCAAAAATAAAAAATGAACAGAAATGCAGAAGGGACTACTGTATAGTAAGATGATCCAATGTATAAATGGTAATTAAATATGTCAAGATGATACAAGCCAATTTAATTTTTAATATTTTAATCATTTGGCTAGCTGGTAGTAAAATAGTTTAAAAGTATATAGACCTAAAAAAAATATATTTTTCAAAAATCCCCTCTTATTTGTTATTTTCTAATAGTTTGACAACCCTAAAACAATTTAAAACTCTCCCACAAGCTAACGAAAAGATCGATAAATGTGATCAGTTCAACAGTTGATAAGCTTCGATTAATTTTCACATTCCCATACAAGTACATTGAATGCTTTAAAAATAAATTAACTCGTACACAATTTGATGCAAGAGTATTTGTTTGCGGTGGCGGCGACTTCCAAAAAGAAATAACAAATATCAATTGCTGCCAGAGCTTTGTGACAGTGTGCGAGACGTGTGATGGGTTTGCATGTGTGTTCGAATAATCTGAAACAAATAGCAACAACAACTGAAGCGCGGCCTTCTCTCCGAGCGACAACAAGACAATTACTGTAAATAGGTAAAATAACAAGACAGCCAGCAGTTGCACAAATATTAAAAAAGCACACACCAACCATACATATATGAAGCCAAAGGTATTACGGTAATCAATGTCAAATGCTGCCGATTTCATATGAGTGTGTTTGTGTACTCCAACCGAAAACAACAAAAGCAACACCTTTGGAAGAGCGACACACACGCTCCCATCAAAAAGCAGACAGAGAGAGAGAGAGACGGAGAAACAGATAAAGCGAGACAGAGCGTGAAATACGCGTCAAATGTCAAAATCGAAAAAGAACAACAAAAACCACAATCGACCTAGTGTTGTTCTATTTGAGAGAGCGATTTTCAAACGAAATGAACGTATTGAAAGCTAAAATAATATTTACTTTTCCTATTTGTGTTTCATAGTTTTGTGGATTTTAAGCGCAAGTAAACTTTTCGAAATGCCAGCACAAATACATATATATATGTAAGCTTATATATGTATATACATATATACATGGCGGATATAAAAAAGCACCACTTGTTGTTGCCTTGATTGAATGCAGTGCGTGCGAGCGGGATGGCATGTTGTAGTTCGCCAAAGCAAGGTAAGATCGACACCAATACACCAACAAATGCAGCTCTCATATACACAATATACTTTCACTTCTTGTATTGAATTTTTGATTTTATTTGTGCTGGCGCCACGTTGTTGTTGTTAGATATGGGTTTCTTAGGCAGATTTATGCAGTCGGCAACAACGAAGCTTTTAATAGAAAAACGAAACCCAAACTGGGCAATTCTGAAGTGTTAAAACAACAAGAACGTTCGATTTTTAGAGAAAATGTTCAAATAAATATAGAGATTTTATAAAATTCACATTTGAATACTAATCATAAGCAATCTATTTTACTTATTTTTACATAACAAATGTTACAGATGTAAATTTAACAAATTGATCATATTAACCAAACAATCTTTCTTTCTGTGTACGTGGGCAAAATACATACGTCACTGCGGATACCTTCCCTCTCCCTCTCACACCCTTTTATTGTTGCATTACTGCATAAATAGTGACACTCACTTACATATATACACCCCTCTCTCTTTTGCAATTTATGCAATGTCGCATTACTAGCAATTGTTTACTTGTAGTAGAGTAATCGTAAATTAGTGTGCAGTATTAAAATAAACTCTTTCTTCAACTATTTACCAAAGTTAGTACTTAAATCGTAGAAAATTGATCGTAGAACCGGCAAATGGTGAAATCAAAGAGAAATGGGTAAGAACAAACCAATGCTGACGTCACAAACGTGAGAAGGGAAAGAATGGGCTCGTTTAGCATCCTATCAATATATCGAAGGATAACGGCAGCGGGGCATAAATCCAATTAGAATAGAAAATAGGGGGAAGAAAGCAAATGTTAAAATTAGACACTGAAAGTTGCTCCCACGCTTATATTCTCTAGGATAACTTCTACACGCACACACTATATACATACACACACGCCCACAGTGCAACAGCGTCGAACGGAAAAAAGAGAGGCGAAAATGGGGGCAGGGACAGAAGAGAGAAGAGCCGTGTAGACAGAAGAGGAACAGCTGCGAACGAATTAACATAAATTGTAAGCGAAATTGGGGTGGATAATACTGTTTTACTTAATTTTTTTTAACACGGTGGCTGTATATTGTTTATTGGTTTTTCTAAAGCTACTACATTCCAGCAATTTCCCTGCAAGAGACAGGCACCCTTCCACTGCCACCCTGTCTTTCCCACACTCTTCTCTTTTGCTCCTTCTTCTTCTTCGTCTTACTTGTGTGTTGGCATATTTTGGTTAACTCGTTTAAAAAGCTATTCTTCGGTTGTTTTTCAGGCACTTTTATGATTGTATTCTTGTTACTGCATTTTTTTTCGGGTTTTACTAAGTTTAATTAAAGCGCGTCGAGGTTTTGGGGGTTTTTAGTACGTTGGACCGACAGAGACGGGGCGACAACGACGTTTCGCTGGAGCGCGCGTGCATAACACGCACACATACAGGGACGAATCTACGCGAGAGAGTGGAGAAATCAATCAAGAGAGCACGTCGGCGAAGGGGGAGTGGAAAAAAATCACATATGTATGTGCGTCAGTGGAAGTGCGACAAGATTTTCCACAATATTCCACGCATCTTTGTTTCGTTTCTTTACATATGCACATTATTGCTTCGTTTTCTTTTCGCTTTGCTTTCTTACACAATATATATTTTGTGGTAATTTCAGGTTTTTAAATTTTTTGCACACACTTTTTTCTTTATCTTTTTTTTTAATAGTGGATATATTACGCACTGGATTTCTGGCTTTACACTGGCAGTCGACAGGCGGTGGCGAATAATGCACGTATTCCCCTTAATTAACAGTTTTCGCTAGAATTAATAATGTAATCTGTTTAACAAAAACTCAGAAATCACGTCATGGCTGCCACGTCCAAGCAACAATGGTACAGTGTTACCAGATAGTGAAACTGCTTTTCCCCTAACTTTTTTCGATATTTTAAAGTTACCTATCGTAGCATGCGATAATTTTCATATTTGAATTTTGTGCGGGAGCCCATGTAAATGGCTATTTTCGATAGACACTGATAGGACCCCAATAAGCGGTCACTCCACATATACGGTCACACCGGCGTTAAAATAACAAAATATGAATTTCCTTATATTGAAACATACACTTTACGATAAACAGGATTGATACACATTTTAACTTTTAAAATACTTAAAAATACAACTTAATTTTATATAACTTAAAGTTTTTCCCGCTTTAAATTGCCAACCAAAACAACCATGTAAAACAGATGTTTTGATGTGCGAGCGGGACAGCTATTAGGCTGCATTCGCGAATCATGAGAACACAAAAATGCAATAATAAATATGTGTGGAATGAAGAAGGCGCAAAAGCCCCGAAAAAAACGCGCCACACATGTACAAATTTCACCAGTAAAAGCAATAGTTATGGTTTTCGACGGCCATAACAGATGACAATTGCCAATTGGGCATTATCAGTTAACAATAAACAATAAGAGAGGGGAAGCACGCTGCGCGGCATTGCGGCTCTTGAACATGACCACGGTTTCTTGGCCGACCGATCAACCGACCGACTAAATTTTTTTCACGCCAACATTTGGCCGACTAAAACAATGCACTTACCCTGGAAATTATCGTCATTTTCTTCCTCCGATGCCATTGTAGCAGTCGAGTGCAACTTTTTCGCTATTTAAGCACACGAAATTGTCTTAATTTCCACAACAAATAATTAGGCACACACAGACACGACGAGAAAAAAATAGACAGTTGTAAGCGGCTTCAACAAATATGGCGGAGCGGAGAGCGACAAAAAGTGAGAGAATCAGGGTTGCACGTCGATAAAACGAAGCGAAACGGTCACTTTGATCTGAGGACAGCCCTGCTCGATATGCTGCAACCACCCTGTCTTTTCTCGTATTGATAAAATTCTTAGCGAAAAAACGTCGTGTGCTTTTGTTTTCCTTTGCAAATCGCTGATTTATACAATCGAGGAATGTGCAAAGCAGTTGGTAAATAACTTTTACTTTTTAGTCAGACCCATTTAATTGCGAATTATGTCGTCCATTATTACGCGCAAGGATGGCGACGTCGACGACCAGAAAATGTCCAAAAAGCGCGCTGCCGCCTCAGATTCTGGAGGTGGTGGCGCCATAGACGCGCCGAAGAAATCCCGCTTCGATGTCCTGCAAAAAAATGGCGGTGCGGGCCAGAAAGAGGATGCACCTGTATCCGCTTCGTTGAGTTCCACCCAGATCAAGCTGATGATGGCCCATGCCCAGCGGGAGATCGAGGAACGGAAGCGGGCACTGAGTAATCTGCGAGACAAAGATCCCTTGTTGGCATCGGTGCCATCGATTGGAATGCCCGTGGCACTTGCCACCCAGGCGCTGGCCAAAAAACCTACACCGGAGGACTCGGAGAAGGCCAGGAAGATCGCTGAGTTGCAGGCGCAGATCAGGGCAAAGCTCACCGGCAATTTGGTCAACTTGATTCAACCTACTGCAGTGGCAGCCGCAGCAGCAGCAGCCGCCCAGGCACAAGAGCGTCCCAAACCTCTGATCTTGGACGAAGAAGGACGAACTGTAGACAAGAGCGGCCGAACCATCAATATACCCACGGTGACACCTACTCTAAAAGCCAACATTCGCGCCAAAAAACGTGAGGTGTTTCAGCGTCAATCGGGATTAGGTGATCGCGGTGAGCCCGCCACATCAGCCCAGGATGAAGCCATCAAGTACTTTGACGACCGCATAGCTCTTAAGCCCACTGTTAGGAACAAAAGAACTCTGAGGTTCCACGAGCCAGGAAAATTTCAGCAGCTGGCTGAACGGATGCGCATGAAGAGCCAGCTGGAGCGTCTACAGAATGAGATATCGCAAATAGCCCGAAAGACGGGAATCTCGTCGGCCACCAAGCTGGCTTTGATTGCACCCAAGCAGGACATGCCCGACGATGTGCCCGCCATGGAGTGGTGGGACTCAGTAATACTCACCCAGGATCTGGAGACGATGGACGAGGCAAGCGGTAAGATAAGCATACGCCAGACGTCCATAAGCAACCTTATAGAGCACCCCACACAAATGAAGCCGCCTAGTAAGTAAATAACATAAGACTTCGCAATAAAATTTAACGCTTTTATCCTTTAGATGAGCCCATGAAGCCTGTGTATCTACCAGTTTTCCTTACCAAAAAAGAGCGCAAGAAGTTGCGTCGGCAGAACCGTCGGGAGGCCTGGAAGGAAGAGCAGGAGAAGATCCGCTTGGGTTTGGTTGCCCCACCAGAGCCCAAGCTTCGCATATCAAACCTCATGAGAGTTCTGGGATCAGAAGCCGTGCAGGACCCCACGAAGATGGAGCAACATGTGCGAGAACAGATGGCTAAGAGGCAGAAGGCGCACGAAGATGCCAACAATGCCCGTAAATTGACCAGCGAACAGAAAAGCGAGAAGAAGCAGCGTAAATTGAGGGAGGATACCAGCTGCGGAGTTCATGTGAGCGTCTATCGCATACGCGATCTGCAGGACAACCAAAGCAAGAAGTTCAAGGTGGAAACCAATGCAAAACAGTTGCAAATGACCGGCAGCGTTGTGCTGTTTCGAGATTGCTGTGTGGTCGTCGTGGAAGGAGGACCTAAGCAGCAGAAAAAGTATCGCAGACTAATGCTAACCCGCATTAAATGGGAGGAGGACCTGGCCAAGGGTAACGATGGCCAGGATGTGCCCAACTCATGTGTGCTCGTCTGGGAGGGAACTAGTCAGCGCCGGCATTTTGGAGAGATTAAGTTTAAGATCTTTCCCATGGAGAAAATGGCACGCGAGTTTTTCCAAAAACACCAGGTTGAGCACTACTGGGATCTAGCCTACTCAGGGGCTGTGCTAGAGGCCTCTACAGATCAGCAGTAGAAGTGTTAACAAGCATTTTAGGAATTACTAGACTCACAACATTACTAAAAATTCATTTTCGAAAAGATCAAAGTCTGAATTGATGTTTTGAAGCGCTACGCATTTGATATGTTCTCTTTCGGAGCTTTTCGGAACCTATTAGAAGTGCAAAAAAGTATAAATAAAAGTTTTTTCGGAACTCTAAATATTAGATTCTTTAATTTTTGAAGATGATTTGGTGATTGATCCGGAATGATTGGCAATCTGAAATGTAAATGAAACAAGCTCAACTTATCATTTATAATTATGTTTTATTTTTTTTATAATCAATCACTGCCTTTTAACATAGGGATCTTCCTTAATGTTAGACTGTATAAACTCATCTAATCCTTGCGTCTTCAGCTTCTCTATAATACCTTCCAACCGCTGATCTTCTAGGGCATTCTCCGCCTTTTCGCGCAAATCCAGTTCATGTTGCTCCTTGACACGCTTGGTCAGGACACCTCTGACTATTTGTCTTAGCGACTTGTTGACGGCCAGCGTATAGTCCAGCAGTTTTACATAAGTGTCAGGGGTTAGATATCCGCACTGTTGACACTGAGCAATCTGTTCAAAGGTGTCCATGCTAGCTGTGATAATAAGACCGTGCTCCTGGTCAGACGGGGTGCTAGTGTTACTGCTATTTCCTCGATGCTTCCACAGAAGCTCCTCCATCTTGGCACTAGGATTGAGGAAAATGTGTTCTTGATATATACAAGCCGTGGAGGCCGTAATCAAATCGTAGGTGGAAATACCGCATTCCACCAAGGCAACGCCACAGCAATTGATGGCTGTGCTGAGCAAGCAGCCATCATCGTCTAGGATAAGGACACGTATGTCCAGCTGAAAGTTGAGGAACTCCGTCCGGCAAACTACCGGCTCCATGGCCTTGGTTAGCATACTGGCTAGATTCCGTTCTCGTTCTGGCACGGACTCCAGATCCCCTGTGGCAAACGCAGCAAAGTTCACATAGCAATTCAGCACTCCCATGTTCATCCGTCGGGCGCTGGCGCGGATTAGCTCTTTTGGCGGAGCCACAATGGCCAGAACTTTGGTGTTTCCATATTCCATGTACGCAGAACCCCTCACGGTGGTTAAAACGCCAGCACGAATGACTGTAATTAGGCCAATATTTAATAATTATAACATAATTTACGGATGTTTTAGACCAACAGGTGTTTCTTGGTGCCAGTTTTGTAGGTTCCTTTGCCGACTTGTCCAAACTCTCGAAGAAATCCTTTCCATCTTGTGGCGTTGTGTAGAGCTCGTCCGCTACGACAGCACCATCGAGCAGGCTATTCTTGGTCTGCGTCACTTTTAACATATTAAATAACTGACTTTTTAATTAAATCAAAAAATAAACAAACTATTTTCCCATGTGGATCACAAAATGTGGCTTTCAAAAAAAATACTTGTTTGGTATTTCAGCAATATTGTGGTATAAGTTAAAATAATATAAATACTTAAATTATCCAATAGGTTTCTTAAAGGTTTGTAAATTTCCTAAAAATTCAAGTGATTTTATATTTCAAAACATTTTTTGGGCGTGAGTTAAGGGATATGTAGCGGGCGCACTAGAATATGCATACGTTATTTTTTGGTTTTCCATATTTTAAATGTTCGATATATCGATACAATTTCTGGTTGGTTCCCCAACCAAGTAAGAAAGTTTGGGATGATTACGCGTTCCTAAAATTTAAAAATCTTTATTATTATTCTAATAAATCTAGGAAAATAATTAATCACTTGTTTCTATATAAAAAATAAAACTACTGTTCTACTTAATATGTAAAATTTAAGACAATCAAGAGAAGACAATTATTGGCATTTTTTAAATCAGAAAGCTTATATTAATAAAGAACTTTTGGGTTTTCACACGCCAACTAACTGTGCTAGGGAATAAATCACTTACTTCGCTACTATTATGTGACCAGTTCTCATCGATTATTGGAAATCTAGTATGTTAGGTAACAAACTCGATATATCTTGGCGTTCGTGTCTCGGTCACACCAGCAAAAAGCGCTGTGTAATTCTGCTGTTTCAACAACGAAAAAAAGGAACAAAAGCAATCGCTTCATTACAGTCGAAATTAAAATAAGCTAAATTCAGGTACATTACGTTGTGGGAATAGTAGGCATCGCAAGGCATAAAACGCAAACATGACGGGTGAGACCAAGCAGGAGAAGAAACAAGCGCTGCCGGCGGCCACAGGCGGCGATGCCAAGGACTCGAAGGCCAAGAAGGATGAAAAGAAAGACAGCAAGGACAAGGATCAGCAACCCGAGCTGTCCGACGAAGATCAGCAGTTGCAGGAGGAACTTGAACTGCTGGTGCAACACTTGCAAGAGCCAGACACTAAGCTCTACCAGCAGACACTGGAGATGATGGCCAAACTGATACGGGCCTCCACAACGTCGATGACCTCAGTGCCCAAACCGCTTAAGTTCATGCGTCCTCACTACGACACCATGAAGACGGTGTACAAGCACATGCCGGATGAGAGAGCACGACAGTTGTGCGCCGACATCATCTCGGTGCTATCGATGACCATGGGCAGCGGTAAGGATTGCCTAGCCTACCGATTCCTCTGCGATCGCAAGCAACGCATCGGGGACTGGGGCCACGAGTACGTGCGTCATCTATCCGGCGAGATATCCGCCCATTATCACGACACTACGGGCGACTTTCGAGTCCAACTCATTGAACTGGTCAAGCAGATCATTCCCTACAACATGGAGCACAACGCCGAGGCAGATGCCTGCGATCTGCTGATTGAAATCGATCATTTGCACCTTCTGGGCGACTATGTGGATGAGTCCGCTTATCCGCGCGTCTGCCTCTATCTGCAGTCCTGCTATCCTTACGTTCCCGAGCCGGATAACACGATTATTTTGGAGACTGCGCTTCAGCTGTCGCGCAAGTTTAACCAGCACACACAGGCTATGCGATTGGCTTTGATGCTAAATGATATGGACAAGATTTCTGAGATCTTTAAAGAGCCCAAGGAGCCGGCCATGCAGAAACAATTGGCATTCATGCTGGCCCGCCAACAGATATGCCTGGAGCTAGACGAATCGGTGCCAGACTACGACGATCTCATGGAAATCATGTCCAATGCGAATCTTAACAAGCATTTCCTGAATCTAGCCCGCGAACTGGACATCATGGAGCCAAAAACTCCCGAGGACATATACAAGTCGCATTTGGACAACTCACGGTCCCGCTTTGCATCAATCCAAGTTGACTCGGCCAAGCAGAATTTGGCCGCTAGCTTTGTCAATGGCTTTGTCAATGCCGGCTTCGGTGTAGATAAGCTGTTATCGGAAGATGGCAACAAATGGCTGTACAAGAACAAGGAGCACGGAATGCTTTCGGCCACGGCTTCGCTGGGTTTGATCCTCTTGTGGGATGTAGATGGTGGTCTGACCATGATCGATAAGTATTTATACTCTACAGACGACAATATCAAGTCTGGAGCTTTGCTTGCTTGTGGAATCGTAAACTGCGGTATTCGGAACGAAGTCGATCCGGCCCACGCCTTGCTCTCAGACTATATTGATAACCAGAACTCTTGCATGCGTGTTGGCGCCATTCTTGGCCTGGGCATTGCATATGCTGGTTCCAATCGCTCTATTGTTATCGATACGCTAAAGACGGTATTTTCATTGGGCAGCAACAATAAGAGTTCGGCTAGCGTAGAGATCCTGGGTATCACGGCCCTCTCGCTAGGTCTAATCAGTGTTGGATCCTGCAATGCGGAGATCACCGAGATCCTTCTGCAGACCATTATGGGTCTGACTAAGTCAGACCTGAAGGACACCTACACCAGGTTCTTGTTTTTGGGATTAGGTCTGCTGTACTTGGGTCGCCAGAAGTCAACAGAGGCTGTCATGATGACCCTGGAGGTGTTGGAGGAGCCGCACCGCAGCATGGCCACCACCATGGTGGACATTTGCGCTTATGCTGGTACTGGCAATGTACTCAAGATCCAGCAGCTGCTCCACATCTGCTCCGATCACTACGAGACAGCCAGCGCCGAAGACGAAAAGGAAAAGAGCAAGAAGGATAAGAGCAAAGAGAAGGTAATAAAATAACAAAATTGTTGGTAAACATGTTTGCTAATTAAGTTTCATCTTTGAAGGATAAGGAAAAAGAGAAGGAGAAGGAAAAGGAGCGCGAGAAGGACTTATCGGCCACCCAATCGATCGCAGTGCTCGGCATTGCCCTGATCGCGATGGGTGAGGACATTGGAGCCGAAATGGCATACCGCTCCTTTGGAAATCTGCTGCGCTATTGCGAACCGGCAATCCGGCGGGCAGTACCACTGGCCTTGGGCTTGATATCTGCCTCCAACCCTAAGCTGAACATCATCGACACCCTGAGCAAGTTCTCCCACGATAGCGATGCCGAAGTAGCCCACAATGCTATCTTTGCAATGGGTTTGGTCGGCGCCGGCACGAATAATGCCCGCCTTGCTTCCATGCTCCGCCAGTTGGCGCAGTACCATTCAAAGGATCCCAGCAACTTGTTCATGGTGCGCATTGCTCAGAGTCTGACGCACTTGGGCAAGGGTACTCTATCGCTGAGTCCCTATCACAGCGATCGCCAGCTAATGAACCCAATGGCCGTCGCTGGTTTGATGGCTACATTGGTTTCCCTGCTGGATGTTAAGAATCTGATTCTGAACAGGTCGCACTATCTGCTCTACACGCTGGTACCAGCCATGCAAGCCAGGATGCTGATCACCTTTGATGAGGACCTTAACCAGCTCCAGGTGCCCGTTCGGGTCGGTATCGCTATCGATGTGGTCGGACAGGCCGGCAAGCCGAAGACCATTACTGGCTTCCAGACGCACACCACTCCCGTCCTGCTGGCCATTGGCGAGCGCGCTGAACTTGCCACCGATGAGTATCTGGCTCTTACTCCGGTCATGGAAGGCTTTGTCATATTGAAGAAGAACCCAAACTTTGTTAAATAGAAAGTGCATTCAAACATCTAACGTTTAAGGTCATGCGAGAAATTGAAGTTCAGCAACTAACTCCCAATAATTATTTGTTCCCCTCATTGGCAGTTGATTCAAATGTCATTAATAAAAAGTATATCTACCTTTAAATAAATAAAAATAAATATTCATACTTTTTAATGGCTTGCTTTTGGAAATGGAAAAACAAGCGGGATCCCCCTCTTATATCTTCAATGCAAAGGAAAGTTGGTAAAATCATCATCTGCCTGAAGGCTACATCTTTCCTTCTCAGTATCCTTGCCAATCCCACATGAGCGTCTCAAACAAAGCCATGTTAGTGCATTGTAAAAATATATATGCATACTTTATTCAGTGGCTTTTAGCAATGTTATTTTCGTGTGTTTGAAGTGAATTTTTATTTACGCCCGCATGTTTAAATGTAGGTGTAGGCTGTAGTGAAATTGTTTTTTGTGTTTTTTTTTTTTGGAATTACAATTATTACAAGTATGTTTTGCTTGTACGAACTTCACTTTAAAAATAGATTTGCTTATTTCTGTAAATATATATTTGTATACAAATCTGCTTATTAATTAGAATCAATTTGTCTCTTTGTTTTCTCCACAAAAAGTGAATTTACATGAAGCCAGATGATATTAATAAATTTTTGAAGTAAACATATTTTTCGTAAGCCCTGTATATTCTGTATTATTAAGTAACTGGCAAATAAAAGTTAAATATGTATATTTGATTTTGGGTTTACGATTTTGGTGTCGAACTAAAGAGGTTTAGAGAGTCGGTATTAATATAAAAGCAACGAACCAAGTGAACGATTTTGAAGTCAATTCGAAATTTTACACACGTTTTTTACATATTTCCAACATCATAAATCGATTAAGTTATAACACAACATAATAGAAAATAGAAATAAAGATATTTTGTAAAAATTGCCGATTACAAATTAAAGCCCTGCGATCTATATGGTCAACGAGAGGCGATTGTTGAGGAGGAAATGGGGCAGCAGCAGCAGCAGCGGCGACGACGCATGCGTCAGCGCCTCTCGAATTTAGTAGGCACCGATAGCCTGGTGCGGACACCACCGGCTCCTCCCGTCGATCCTGTCGCCTTTGTTCTCTCTGATGTAGATCGACGTCGGGCAATTGGACGCTTGCTGCTACTGGTGTTATTATTGTTTACTGGCAGTGAATAGTTATTGCTTTTGTTGCGGCCGACGCCATTTCCATTTCCGTGTCCATGTCCATTTCCGGCCCCTGTCCCGGCACTTCCGTCGCTGTAGCGCTGCCGCTTGGTTAGCACTGTGTTATCTATACAATGATCGACAAAACATTAACAGTTAACGACGAAGATCAAATAAATGATTAATATAAGAAGTTACTACTTAATTAATTGCCCACACAGTTGTCGTCAACTGCTCTAACTTCGCCACAATCATCATCATTAATACCAACATCGACAGCATTATCGCTGTGGGTCACCACTTCTGGCACATCCGCCGCCTGCTCCACATCTGCCAAAGACCGCGCGTTCACATTGAGATGAAGAATTCAGATAAAGTCCAAAAAGTGTAAAAAGTTCAAAAGAAAAAGTCCAAAGAATAAATTTTGATTGAATTCTTGATTTGCTTTTGATTGGTGGCTTTCATTGTGAACTCATGACGATGACGATGGTTGGATGCACAGCTAGTTTTGTATGTACATATGAAGGTGCATACCGATTCTGTGATATATGGTTTATTAAAGCTATCTAGGTGATGATTACCATTAATTTTTGTTCTATTATCTATGGTTGAAAAGGGGATTAGGATTACAGCGGCTTTTTGAAAGTGCAAATTTCGTATTTTTGGTGATGGATTATTAAATTTCAACAGAGTTGTATTGAAAGAGGTTTCCATGTAATACCGTAATAAAAGTAACTCAATATTTACTGAAAATTAATATTTAACAAAAAAGACTAGTATTTTTTTGTTTGCGCTTTCATAAATTGCTCAAATTATGGCTTGAAATGTCTGGCCAGGACAGTGTCCAAGCAAATGACTACGATGAAGATGAGACTAGAATGCTCGGCAGTGTTCCTACAGATTTTTCACTCACCTTTGGCGCTCAGTTTACGTTTTGAGGCAGGTGTTGCCGCCAGTCGCGTTCCACTGACATTGCGTTTCTGGCCAGGATCGGAGCGCCGCTCTCTTGTGTTGGCCAGTGTGCTTAGGGGCTGGTCGGCGCTTTTCTTGGCCACGTTTTTACTGTTGTTGGTGCTGCCATTGCTACCATTTTCCGTTGTCTTTCCCTGATTTCCATTGGCAGTGCCTCCGCTGGCTCGTTTCAAATGAGCCGGCATTCGTTTGGGTGGCTGCATCGAGCTAGTCACCGCTCCACTTCCAGAGCTCGATGCTGAGGAGGTTGAAGCTTGGTCAGCGGGAGCTATTGGTTTTTGCGGCGACTTGAGCGTCTTGGGATCCTCCTGCTTCTTATGCATGCCAACGTCCAACCAGAATTTTAGCTGTTCCTCGCGTTGGCGCTGCATCAGCTCCTGCCCTGCGGTGAACTTGCTTAACATACCTTGGAGCTTCTGGACCGTCTTGTAGACAGTTTCGGCTGCTATAAGGCCGTAGTCGAAAAGTGAACACATGTGCAGGATAAAGTTACGATAGAGATTCTTCTTTACAATCTCGTTGCCTTTGGCGTCCAAAAACATCTCGCAGGCAATTGGGAGCTGGCAGTCGCCTACAAATCCGTGACGCATCACGTGCAGGTTCCACAGCTTCATCAGCTCCTTCTCGCCCTCGTTCACGTCGGAGAACTCGTCGATCATCTGGATTGTCTTCTGGCGCAGCCAAAGTGGATCGCTCTCACCTTCGGAGTCGATATCCAGCTCTTTGGGATGTACTGGCAGGCAAGTTTCAGTATGATGGTAGAGTCTAAATTAAAAAAAAAAAAAGATTTGTGGGTGCTAAGAAATGTTTTAAAATTATTCCACTCAGCTAGTTACCTGTTATGACCCGTAATGTACGAACGCTGGTTGCTTATCTCATCCTCGTCCAGTTCTAAAAACTCGTCCAGGCAGGTCTTTTGTCGCCTTGGCCGGCACACCATTAGGCTTGTGACCGAAGTGCGACGCACGGGGCCACAGGTGCGGGCGAAGGAGGAACCAGATGGACCGGCCAGGTCGTAAGGTGATCCAGCATACGATCCATCGTAGGCATCATTAATTGTGACATCGATGCGTGCGCCACTTCCAGCCGGTTGATAGGTGAAATTAAAGCGGGCGTGGCAAAGCTTCAGATGCTTCAGCAAAGCATAAAGACGCAGGCAGTCCAATCCGCACCACGGGCAGTTTAACTCCTGAGTGTACTCGGTCTGTTGACGTGTATTATTGCTGTACATGAAATTGTACACGATTTGAATGTGCTCTGGCGTGGATTTGCATAAGGTGCTGCTTCCTCCGCCACCACTCTTTAATCCACTGCAATTGTTGTTGTTGCTGTAGTTATTGTTATTGTGATTCATTTCGGAAACCGCATCCAAATGGACATATCGCTGTAGCTCCGGGGCAGAAATAACATCGGGCAACTGCTCATTGGAGAGCGTAAGATGGAACTTAAGCATGGGACTCTGCTGGTAAACATCATAAGTCAGCGAGAGTGGAATGTAGCTATCGGGCATCGTTTCCCAGGTGCATTTCTTTGGTGAGAAGGATTTGATACTGGTTGAATTTAGAGGCTGCAGCATGGCCTCATACTCTCCTTCGGTAATAAAGCCGCTGGACTTCTCATACAATATCAACTCCGAGCCGAAAATCTTTTCATTTCGACGTGACCGCTTATTCGGGGGTGTTTCTGCAAAAGATCAAATACTCTTGAATTAGGTGGACAAACTAGGAGAAGGAAGACACCCACCTGCGTTTTCATCGTTGCAAGTACTAGGTGCCAGCACTTTGATGCGAAACAGTAGTTTGTACAGTGTGTGCTGATCACCCATGGGTCGCATCGTCTGCAGGGGAATGCTGATTGTGGCATGCTCAACAACGCGATCCTTTGGGTTGTATACAATCTTTGAGTTTTTGCTGAGGAGCTCCTGGAAGTCCAGTGTACTATCCTTTCGCTTGCTGCGTGTGATCTTGTAGAGTGTTGTCTCCACACTTACAGATTCCCCTGCGTCGCACAGCAGCTGTTCCTGAAGCAAATCTTCCCCAGAATCGTTGGTAGTCGTCGTCTGGTGTTTCTCATTAAGTGAATCATAGATGACGTGCAGGTAGTTTTGGCTCACCGCCTCCGATTTTTGAGTAATGCTATCGAGCATTGAGTTCACCTGAAAGCTGGCCCGCTTTTTGTTGTTCCGCGACATACGTTCTTTCATATAGCTGAGCGTTCGGTTCAGGAAAATGGGCTAAATTTAAGGATTGGTATATTAATAAGAAGTGTATGGATTCGGTCAGGCTATCGGGACTATCCCAGATATCTCAGATGCGTTTAAAATCAAATTGACAGTTTGTAGGTATAGATTTCTGAAATACTATCCGATTCTTGGAAGAGCTGTCTCAACCATATTACCAAGTGTAAACTTACATTTGTCTCGTGTCGGTTGCGCAGGTAGCGATAGATTTGCGTGGGTTCTGTAAGGTACTCAGTGGATTACTTAGTGTCCCCTAGGTAAATTGGTGTTCTTTTGACTTACTCTCAAAGGCCTGCAAAAAGAGTTCCTGCTCCTGCTGGTGTCCATTGAGTTTGACCTGACTCTCGGCAGTGGGCGGTACAGTAGAGCTAGCATTTCCTGTATCCTGATCATGTGATCCATGGGACATGCCATTTAGGCCATTTGCCATAGCCCCATCAACATTATTGTCTTTTTCGCGTTTTTTCGTTGGGGCCATTGTGTTTGTGTGTTGGCAAGGGGCCGGGGTGATGAGGGGTGGTTATGGTATTGGGTCGGTACGGATTCCACGGATCACAATTACAACCGCACGCACTAGCTTTCAGTTTCAACACATTTTCCCAGCAACAGAGTCCATTTAGAAACGGTTTACGTCAGTTTTTTGCAGATCTATGCGTGTTTTTGCCGTTCTCCTTTTCGGCGCGAAATCTTTTGCTTTAGTCTCAGCGTTATTATGGGCGTACTTGCAACGCTACGACTGCATGATGAATGTTTTTACTTTGATTACTTGCCGTAACACACTTTACCTTACTATTTGTTCATATTATTCTTTTGGATTATTTATATGTAAATGAGTTTTAAGCACTTTCAATTGACATCAAATAACGCAAAGCAATTTTTCTGCTGTCTATCAAGCGGCATCATATGCCACTTTGGATGTTAGCCAACACTGTATTTAATGAAATTTTTATTTTAAAAACACTATAATTTATTTATGCTCTTTAGGAAAAACATTTTAAATATTTATTTTTGTTATATTTGAATATAAAAATATTATTAAAACAACTAAAGCCAAGAAATGAGTACACAATACAGTCAGCTGTTCGTACAATGCTGCAAAACTCTTTAATTGAATTCATGTGGCATCGCGAAATTTGTTTTGGTGTATCCGAGAAATCCAGAAACGGGCACACTGCACAATTCTCACATGCATTTAGCCGAATTTTGTTAAAATTTTTAACAACCTGTAAAACAACTGCTTTATAAAAGCTGAAATTTAATATTAACGTCTGTGCCAACTGATTCAAAATGGACAAAAACAGCGCAGCGTTGTACAAAAAGGTGCAGACAGAGATTGAGTCATACCAGAACCTGCAAAAATGTGAGTAATATTGCTAGCCATCTGGTTATTAATTTCGGTTTATATGGAATATATATTATCCTTAACAGCCTGCGTCAAGATGGTTAAACAGCGTGCCTTGCTGGAGAGCCAGCTAAACGAAAACAAGTGTGTCCTGGACGAACTAAATCTTCTGGGACCCGACAACAAGGTTTATAAGCTTTTTGGCCCCGTTTTGGTTAAACAGGATTTGGAGGACTCGCGCCAGAACGTTGGCAAGCGCATTGAGTATATCTCCAAGGAACTGAAGAGTTCCAACGATACCCTGGAGAATATGTAAGTGTCTATCGCAATGATATGGAAATATTTTTATAATTTTTTATTTTTTCAGGGAGAAGGATATGCTGAAGCACCGAGAAACCGTGACCAAGTACCAGCAGCAAATGCAGTTGGCGGCGGCTATGAAGTGAAGTCCCAGCATACAAAACTAATTTACATTTAACTTATTTGAGATAGCTGAACGGCTTTAAAAACTCACCTGGCATGATCGCGTCATCTTGAAATTAATAAAAACAATAAAACACTAAACTTGCAAGGGAATATATATATTATTTGCTGTTAAGGAAATTACAGTAACTTCTATCATATGATAACTATTTAATAAACATCGTTGTTAACAAGTGCCTTCCATCTAGGGCCTGTAAATACTAATCAGATTATTGCCATTCGCATTCCAAGCTTAAATTATTTTTTGGAATTCCCTTATTATTTTTATGAAGTACAGATCAGCTGTAAGTTTCCAGCACACCCACTGAATGATGTGGTATTTTAATGGAAGAGAACTGCTGCCACACTAACTTCTACGACGAGATTTGCCACGAAGAACAGAATTTATTTGTTGGCCAAATTAAAACGGGGCTAAAAAGTGCTGCAAAAGTCAGTACCCGGTTTTGGAAAAGAGGTTGACTTGACGCAATCGAACGATGGGCTCCAGCCACAGCATCCATGTTCCCGGCGGCGGCACTGAAGGTAATTGGGTTTACAACTTGCTCTCCATGGACCACGTAAACGTAAACCTGCCGCTTGTCCAATCAGAATAAGGAGTACTATAAACGAATATGTGACACCCTGTTTTCTTTGCCATGATGCAAATATGTATAAAGAGCAATTCAAGATTACTTGGCTTAGAATCATTTTCTTATTATTAAAAATTTCAAATCCTACTTGCGCTGCGTGGGTATTACAAGAATTTGTGTACTACATGAAAGTTCTCCGAGATCTCTACAGTTATATTATCGGCTATAATTATATTAATGATTTTTTTTGTAGAGAAATCTCTAGATATCTGAAATACACCAGTTTTACAATAATAACAATTTACAATTTAACAATAATCTTATTCCGCAGGCTACCACGTACTGAAGGTGCAGGACAACTCCCCTGGTCAAAAAGCAGGACTCGAGGCCTTCTTTGACTTTATCGTTGCGATTGCCGGGACACGTCTGGATCAGGACAATGATATGCTGAAGGAGCTACTGCGCCAGAACGTGGACAAGTCTGTCAGGCTCACCGTGTATTCTAGCAAGACCCAGACGGTGCGCGAACTCACTCTAACACCTAGTAACAGCTGGGGCGGCCAGGGATTGCTAGGCGTCAGCATTAGGTTTTGCTCTTTCGAGGGTGCTAACGAAAGCGTCTGGCACATCCTAGAAGTCCATCCAAATTCTCCCGCCGAGTTGGCTGGATTGCGGGCCTACAGCGACTATGTAATTGGGGCAGATGCCATACGCCACGACAACGATGACCTGTTTACCCTGATCGAAACGCATGAGCAGCAGCCGTTGAAGATGTACGTCTACAATCTGGATGACGACGCTTGTCGCGAGGTTACCATTAAACCGAATACTGCCTGGGGAGGAGAAGGAGCTCTGGGCTGCGGCATTGGCTTTGGATATCTGCATCGGATCCCAGTGCAGGCAGATCCTGCTGCTGGTGGTTCGGCTACTGCGGCTGCTGCTGAGTCCTCTACTCCTCTACTGACTGCCGGAGGAGCGGGTCCATCTAATGCTCCGGTAGCAACTGCTGGATCCGCCGTGGTCGCACCAACGTTGCCTTATATACCGCCGCTGGCTAACACTTTTGGATCCACGAATGCTGAGGTCAGACCACCAACCATTGAACCTCCAGCACAGAGTCTGTTCAAGACCTATTTCAATCCGGATGAGGGCACTGATGCACTTACAGCAGCGCTGGAAACACAGGCAAACATTTCTGAGCCCGCTCCAGTTCCGCCTGCAGTCGCTGACGTGTCAGTGGCGCAAGTTCAAGTTCCCGCACCAGCGCAACCCTTGCCGCCACCAGCTAACATCTTTATACCCGGAGTTTTTGATCCCAGCGCGCAACAAAACGTTACTCTAGGTGGAATACCCGCAGCTCAGTTGCCATTCCCACAGGCCACGGCAGCGCCAGCGGCAGTGCCTATGTTCTCTGCACCACAACAGGCTTACATGTCGGCTCCGGCTGTTCTCTCCTATCCAGCCGGCGCCCAAACAGTACCGTCGTATCCACAGGTGCAACCCTCTATGGGCGGACTGTTTCCCACACAGCCAACGCCGTTGCCGCCACAAATGGCCCATGTGTTTGCGCCACCAGTACCATCGCAAGCACCGCCACCTGCTCCAGCGGCAGAAAACGAACCATCTGGACCGGCAATAAATCAGGCCGGAATCTAAGACTTCAACTGGGCTACTTGACCAACTGCTACACCTGGACAAATTGTCGTTAAGCTTTTATTTTCAAGAATTATTTTGTATGATTGCGTTACCAAGAATCACAAATAGCGCGAAAATGTTACCAGAAACGTGCAAAAATATGTACATTGATTGCATTCATAAAAATAATCTAAACTAATTATAATAAATAAATAAAAATATATATGTATTTAAGGTCTTTACATAAACAAACTTTTAATATATTTTTAATATTGGTCAGAGTTTTGGGGCAATGTTTAAAGAAATCGTTTTTCGAAACGATTTTCTTTCTTCATATCAAGTAAAGATTTTAACCTGTAAAAATATCAACAATTTTAAATATGTTAAACAATTTCCTAAGCGTTTATTAAAGTCAACAATTTATTGGGACGTATTTAACTTTATAAATACTTATTTACACACTCGCCATAAAAGTAATTTTAAATATTCAAATTATTTGCTGAAAGTAAAAGGTGTAGAATATTATTAGTTTTACTGTTCAATTTCAAATATGACTGCGAGTAAGCAAGGAAAAGCGTGAAAATGCGGATAGCTCAGAAAAGCTTGGTGATTTAGCATATTTATACATATGTAGTAGAATAGCTATTTTTTAAGCCTTAACAAAATATATAATTGCAGATTAAGGCGCTTGTGCATATTCATAGAAAATAATAATTACATCTATAACTTGGCCAGCAGCTTAGTGCGACAACGACATAAAACTAATTTTGTAGGAACCTGGTCTGAAAGTATTTCTCATCGACGAAGCGACAAAACTCGACCAGATGCTTGAACTTCTGCACCGTCTGCGCCAGAGCCATGTTGGGCAGTTGGGTGGTAAGGATGCTGAACAGGTGTCCGAAGGCGATAGCGTCCAGTTCGCAGGGTTGATCACCGTAGAAGAAGGGCGTCTCCGGTGACTCCTTCAGTTTATATTCGAGGGTCTCACAGCACTTGGCCACCTTCTCGATGACGGTATCGATGTCTAAATCATCCCACTGGTATACCTTAAGCAAACGTAATGCGTTCCGCCGCTTTCCATAGTTCTGCATGTGATTGAGGGGCCAGGGAAAGACAACACCATTCCTTGGAGCCGTGACCTCCTTATAGACACGCTCGTTCTTAAAGCTAATGTAGAGCTCGGCCATGGTAAAGATGTTTTCAACCAGTGACACATAGGTCCGCATATCAGCTTTCTCGTCCTCGTCTTGCCAGGTGCCAATGGCCATGTCCTTCTGCTCCACAAAGTTCACAATCGGTTCGAACTCGGCAAAGATGAAAGCTCCTGCGCGGATGAAGGGAAGCTTGGTCATTCTGCCACCCGGGGACATGTGCTCGGCATTGGCACAGGATCGGATCCCAAAGGGCAGGTTACACATCTTCAAATAAGCCTTCACAGCCAGGCAACTAGCATTCTCCGGCAACAGAATCTGTTCAGCCTCATATGGCTTTTGGTTTGAGATGGAATAGAAATAGAAAACTGTTTTTAAAAGGATTGAGTTTTTGGTGACATGACTTACTTGGTAGAGGGTGGCGTCCTCGGGCCATGGCTCGGCGGACAGTTTGTCAGCCGTGTTAAGTTGGCTCAGGTACTGAGATGTCATTTTAAATCAATTAAATTAAATTGTACAATCTGCACTCAAAACTCGCCGATGAAGTAATAAGCAGCTGTTTGCGTTGATGATGCCAGACCGTGAGAATAGGTTGCCGACAATGCTGCCAATTGCTGAACAGTGTTTTGAAATATTAAGAATTAAACAGTTTGGGAAGGCAGTGTGAAAAGCTGCATTTTCAATCACTTACTCGAAGCGTTCGGTATTCTACTCGCAATAGCGTGCTGTCACACTTACAATTCTTATTTCGCCGAGTGTTTTTCGTTATATTTTGCTTTGTTTAAAAGTTTGTTACCACAAATTGTAAAAAATAAATAAAAATTAGTTTGAGTCGACTATCCAAGAAATAGTTTTAAAAGCAGCGTAGTTTTTGAATAAATTTGCATATTAAAAAGGTGAGTGCGCGTCGTCGCTGATTTGTGAGTGTGTGTGTGCCTGTGTGTGCTGCGTTCCAATGCATATTAATAATACTTAACTTGATTTTAAATATAGTTACTTAATATAAGTTAGAATTGTTAGCAAATATTAAGGGGTTATATGCAGGCCCAGAACCACTCCCAAAAAAATTTTACTTGAGAATCAGTGACTATTCACATTCATGTGCCGGCCTTAGTGTATGAGTGTGTGTGTGTGTTAGTGTCTGAGCTGGTGTATGTGATTCATACGTCTGGGGTTTTAACATTCTTCGTGCACATTTCTTTATCACAAAAAAACCAAAAAAAAAGAAAAAAAAGAAAAAGAAACTGGCATGGTTCGTACTTTTCTCTGAATTATCATTATCCCCACACATTGGCGGGGGGTCGGTTCGCTCTCCCTCACTCACGCTTCCTGACTCGCTCACTCTTCCTACGATTCTCGAATTTTTGTTTGGAATTTAAAATTTCTGTTTGGTTTGGTCAGATTTGTTCTTGAAATTACCTTTTCTCACCCATCCTTAATTATTCCGATTGTATTTATTGGCCCAAACTTTCGTTGTTAGTCTGAAAAATGTTTATGATTTTTTCGTTATTCCCACACATACACAGAAAGAAACATTAAGTGAAATCGATTTTGAAATATGTGCACTTGATTAGATGATTCAAAACAATGCTTCTCAGTATAAAGATATTTATAACAAATTTTATAATTTTTGATAAGATAACAAAATGAACTTGTTTTATTTAGCAATTTTGTCTCGTTGATATGAGTATATTAAAATTCTTAAACAATTAGAAGTATATTTAAGCAAAAAAATCAAAAATTACTTTGTATTAAAAAGGAACATAAAACTTTTAAGTAAAATTCAAAAATGATCTTTATTATTACTTTTCTGTGTACACATGTGCCTCCTGCTGAATCTTTTGTATAGATACATTTTTATTATCTCACAAGTTGATGTCAAGTAATAACATTTCAATTTGATGTATATTATTTTTTGCACCGACCGTGTATATATAAAGCCAAATCTGGAGAATTGAGAATTATTATTGGGCCAACATTCGTTAAAAATGGACATATAGTCAGCGACGTGTATTTAGATAATGGAAAACAAAGCAAGATAATAATAAAGCGGTAGCGGAGGGCGGTGTGTTCTCTGGTTTTTGTCGCCCGTTCTGGTCAATATTATTCAATGCCGATATCCGCTCTCTCTGTCTCTCTTTCCGTCTCTTGCCTTATCTGCCACTCCGTATTTGGTTGGACCTTTTTTTTTTTTTTATATATTTTCCGAGCGGACCAGCTGCAAGTCGACCGACCCCATTGCCCCGCCGCGGCCCGCTGCCAATCAACACGTCAGTTCATCAATGCGTTAATAATTGAAATTTAATCAATATTATTGAACGGGCATATAAAGTGGCTAACATTTGTTGGCCAGCAGAAGCGTTGGTGCTGCCAAAAAAGTGAATAAACCACTTGATGTTAACTGAATGATAACGTAATCTGAGCTAAGCAATATATTGAATATGTTTTCGATTTCGTTTTGTAAGGAATTATTTGTTTTCTGTAATAGTTTTTTTTGATTAGTCTTGTAAATGCGATTATGAAACATTTTTTGTATTTATTATTTTACCAACAGTATAAAAACTTTAATCTTCTAAGATAAAAACGAGGGTTACAAACATTCCCAAACGATTGTACTTGCATGGAAGCGAACATACTTTTATATGGAGGAATATATATATATATATAAAACAATATCATTATCGTCAACATGTTACTCACACTACTAAAAATATGCCTATGACCCACATGCTTCTCCCAGAGCAACTAAGAAATACTAAACAAAATCTGAAGCATCAATTTAACAATACAACGCGAAAGAAAGAAAGACCGGGGCTACTCAGTTAAATGTAATTGATTGATAAATAAACAATTCCGCTTGGACAGTTCTAGGTTAGAAGCCATGGCCGAAACAGAAACGAAGCACCAGCCCGAGCACCACGATGAGGATGTCCATGATGCCAACTACCAGGCGCCGCCTGAGAAGACCATCGAGGAGATAATGGCTGCCGATCAGGAGGATGAGAGCTTGCGGCGCTATAAGGAGGCACTTTTGGGTGCCGCCCAGACCGAGAAAATTATTGTTGGTAAGGAAATTTTCTTTTTATCCAGTATAATATGAAGAATCTATAAAATTGAAACTTAATTTTCCAGATCCCAATGATCCTCGAAAGGTGATCGTTAAGAAACTTGCCCTCGTCGTAGAAGGACGTGATGATATGGAATTGGATCTTACCGGTGACCTTACTCAGCTCAAAAAACAGGTAGATATTATTGCTATATAATAGTTTTTATTATTTGTATTAATTGATCTTATTTTGATAGCTTTTTGTGATCAAAGAAGGTGTTCAGTACAAGGTGCGCATTGATTTTATTGTGCAACGTGAAATTGTCCATGGCCTTAAGTATGTTCAAAAGACTTCTCGCTTGGGTGTTACTGGTAAGTAACATTATTACACATTAGTTTATCTTTGGCAGGTTAGGTTTAGGTGAAACAAATCTGATTGAAAGTATTTAAAACTGAATTTTACTTTATTCCCATCAATTTTTTTTTATTTTACTGTTGGCACAGTTTTGAATCTTTACCTTAAAGTATAATTTCATTGCCTATTTCTAGAGTAGATATTTCCCCTAATTTTATGAGAGAATTAAATACAAGGTAACACGAAGCATTGTTTTTGTGCTTGTCTTTACCTTACACGATTGAAGCACTTTTGGGACTTCAATTTTTCTAGAGGCCCAAGCACAATTGTTAGCTTACGCCTCAGTTCTTGATTGACTTTTGCATTGGCAAGTCGTATTTTGTGCTTTAAAATGGGAGGAAAGAGCTGGTTTAATGGCACGAACTTATTGGTGGGATTCTGCGGTGCTGCTTATATCCTTCTTTTCACTTTTGCAATATTAACATTAGTCATGTGTTGAGAATAACTTATATCAATATCCTATTATCTCCAATGCCAAACCTTAATTTCGGAATATATAATTTTTTAAGTTGTGGGTAAGCTGGATATGCTGTATGCCCTAAAATGGAATTTGTTATTAAAGAAAACTTTATTTTATCATTCTCTAGTTGACAAAATGAAGCATATGGTTGGATCTTATCCGCCTAAGAAGGAAATTCAATTCTATTTGACGCCCGCCGAGGAGGCACCTTCTGGCACATTCTCCCGCGGCACCTACTCGGTCAGTTCGGTCTTCACGGATGACGACAAGCATATACACTTGGAGTGGGACTGGACCTTTGAAATTAAAAAGGACTGGGCCTAAAGAAGCAAATCAAATAGCACACACACACACATACATACACATATACGAAATACGCTTTTTGTTTTCCCCAACAAGTCTTTGTAAATGAGTTTATTTTTGTTCCAAAAGTGTAAGCAAGATTTTCCAAAATGTAATTGATCGTCAAAGTATTTTTGTTAATGGTATTAAATTTTAAATATTTTTGTAACTAAAGTGTAATGAAAAAAGCCATGATAAGTATTTTTGATACCCATTGCTAATTGAATGTGTGCAGATGAAGAGTATTTCTCGCCTAAGTCCTCAATAAGACGCCAAGTCTATCAGTCAAGTCAAAACCAAGTCAAGTCACTAGGCCGGCCAGTCAGTCAGTCGTTTGGTTCTAAATGCCATTGCCTATGTTTAACATACATATTTTCAAACAGATTAACAGATTGAGTAATGAACTTTAAGAAAGTTATTTGCATTTCGCTATGTATTTAAAATAAATGAACAGAAAAAGTTTATGTTAAATGTAAGATCAAGTCCCCCCCAATTAAAAGTAAACAATACCCAAAGATGTTTCCGCAACATAAGTATCCATCTAGAAATCATGCAATACGAACTGTTAAATGTAAACTAAAGCTGATACTTTATAATGCATTTGCTGTTTTCGGAGCATGCAAACACTGAAGTCAACATTTATTCTAACTATATACTATCTCTGTGTATTTTTTGTGTACAATATATGCGAATGCCGATTGAATGCAACCGAAAAGCAATAAAGAATAAAATATACATATTTTAAAATCAGTTTTTTACTTAAACTTATTTATATATGTCAATAAATCGATTGTAGCGACAATCTGTGCACAGATTTACCCTTAGACAGAGATAATTTACGCATTTCACACTTTATAATGCTTATCAGTTCACATGGCCAAGGGGTAAACGTCATAAATTCTTGCCATAAGGCAAGAATTACTCATCCGCCATGTGAGCAACTACAAAATATTTTTTCAAGGTGTATGGAAGAGAGAGAGAGAGAGACACATAAAACCCAGAGAGTCCAATGAAGATACCTTCTCTGTTTACATTTGACTCTATCAACATGTTCTCCATTCTTTGAGGCCGGCCTGTTGCACTTCACTTCGGCAACTTGTTGCCCAACTTTAGCGACTTCAATGCAGAAAATAATAACCACATTTTATATTCCAACGCACATTTGTCTTAAGAATCGCGAAAGGTAGCATGAATAAATAAACTGCTTATTCGGAAATGGCTCGAGTTGCCAGGAGGAAAATCGTGTAATTTACGAAAAACAACACAAATATGTTGGGGAAAAGCCTGGAGCCTTCGTTTGTATGGGAACCGTTGGGCCTGTCCTTTCACAGGACGTGGTAAAACAACAATGAAAAAAATATCTTGAAATACAATTCTTATTTTTATTTCCTTGATTGTTTTCATAAGGTAAAATTTAATTACAAAATAAGGTGATACACTAAATTTTTAAAAAACTCGAACCTGCAAAATAAATTTTCCAAAGTAAGTAGTAAAATAATCCATTAAATAACCCAATAAAATATAACATTTTGGTTCAGCGATCAACTTGATTGATGGCAGCACTTAAATTTTCGCTTCATATTTGATTCAGCATGCCAGTAACCGAGTTCAATTCGTTTCCTGTTAGCATCAGCTGTATGAAATGCCAATAATTTTGCATCCAGTAACCAACGTCTATCTCCGTCCTTCAAAGATGTTTTGATTGACAGACGGCCCGTCGATTTTTCGCCCCCACCCGTATTGTTCATTTCGATAGAGCATTGTCTGCCGCTGCGGCCTTTTAACCCGATGCTGCCAATTGTCCGTTGCCTCCTTCACGGTCCATTGCATCCCATCCGGTTATAAGGTTCAATGAAATTTGTAGGGAAAAAACAAAGGCTGCTAGAGTGGGGATAATAAAGTAGAAATGAAATGAAATCAAAAAGGAAACCAGAAAACGCAACAGGCTAAGTGCACACACATACACACACTCCTTCCTATATGCACACGCAAAGGGAAATAAAAATGGCGAACATTTTGTCCGCATATAGGCAGTGCTGCCGAATGGTGCCATGTTGTTTATACTATAGTGCAGACTGTGGCATAAAATATCAAACAAAATTGTTTTTAAAACAACTCTTAACATACATTCTCGTTAAATATATTCAAAGTTTGCAATAAGTTATATTTATTAGAGAATATTTTTCAAAGTAAGTGCCACACTGTCAGTACCCTGTTGCACTGCAAATGGCTGGGAAAGCCATGAAATGCAGCCGTTGCCATGTTTAATCCATAGGAATATATATGCATGTTCTTGTTCTGATAATGGGCTTTGGGTTTTTGCTTTTAACAAACTGACAGTTTTGCCAGCTATTTAAAATTTTTAAATTATTTTACATATTTTTTTCTTACACAAATATGGGATAATTTTCACAATTTAATAAATAATCCAAAGGATTTATTTATCGATAAACAAAGTTATTGTCTGTAAAATAGTACAAAACTAACAATCTAATTAAAACTGGTCATATGGGAAAATTAAATTTCCTTTTGTGCAAAATTCAATTAATTTCATTTTAGATCTGATGTATGGCCACCTTTATTGGATTTCCATTGCCTCCATGGCAAGTTTGGCTAAGCCTATTTAAACATAATTAAATCTAACAAAGATTTGAGCAACTTTTCGGTTTCTGCTGGCCTCCAATTTAGTATGCGGGTCAGCACACGGAGCAACGTGCGAAAGTTTCATCCTGTTTTTCTGCCCAAGGCGCATACATGGCGTATGATGAATTTTATTTAACATTGGCAGAGGATGCCTGTGGAAAATAGATATCAACAGGGGGGCAGCTTATTGTTTTCGTTATTAGATTTTCTTTAATACTATGTTGGTATTTATGAGTGCCAAAATTAGTGGTTAAATATAGTAAGGTGGAAGGGAAAGTTAGAGAGAAAGAGTGGAGAAAGAGTCCTTATTTAAGTAATAAAATATAAAATAGCTTATAATAACAATAAGAGACATTCTTAAGTATAATTTATAAATAAAAATGGTTTAGTGGTTTACTTAAATCATAAAATGCAAGGCTTTTTTCTATTACCTCACTTTCAGCTGCCTTAAATCGTAAATTTGTTTAAATCACTCTTTTTATTACTTTAATACTTTTGTGGCTTTAAGTAAGCACACGCAACTTGGCCAACTTTAAAGGGGAGTGTCGAACACGTCAGAAAACCGTGGAGTTAGTCATCAGATTTATGCGTGGCCGGCAGGACATAAAAAACCAAACACAAACACCCACAATTGGCATACATTTTTTCAAAGCTTAACTTTATTTTCGTATTTTTTATGCGTTTGCCTCCCCCCCTCTGGACAGAAAAAATAATTTGCGTTTATATTGAATTTGTTTTTTGTGAGTTGTTGTGTTTTTTTCTGCTTTTCTGCTGGAGATTCAGTCCAAAGCTGGCAAGAAATTGCATGATTTGTGAATATATATTTATTCAAATGGACTTGCGGTGGGCCCCTCATTTACATTTTGACATTGATTTTTGCTATTGGCAATCCCAGTTTGTGTCCATTTTATGCGACTTCTTTTTCCTGAAATGTTGTGAAAGGTAAAGTTTGATTATTCTACAGGTGTGTGTCGATGTATAGTACAATTTAAAGTTTATATTAAAGTGTTAAAAAACTAGTAAAGTGAAACGGCAGCTTGTTTTAATTTGTTAATTATTCACGTAGCCAGTGTTCATTATGGTTTATGGCGTGTTCCCGGAATAAGTAATTTTAATTCACGCAATTTAACCCTAATTTCCAACTTGTTAGACGGTTCTGCTTAAAATTGCAGGCGAATGTGTCGGATATCAAGGGACACAGCATACTTTCAGGCGCTTTAAAGGACGATGTCAACAAGCTGTTGCCGCAACACACACACACACACACATACACATACACACACTTTCCAACGACAGTTAATTGTCTACCAAAGGGCACAGATCCCGAGGCAGTGAGGGTTTATTATTGTTGCGAATTCTGCTGTTGTTTCTGTTGACTTTGCAGTTCTGTAATTAAGTCGAGCGCACTAATTAAAGAATATTTTCGTAATTAGGCTTTATGTCCTAGCCAACTGTCGTCAGTTTAGCCATACGAAGTATGTACATACAAAATTTAAACAATCTTTGACCTAGCTTTTGTTTAAATTGATTTTTTTCCGCACGGGAAAAGCTCAAGGGAGGCCATTAAATATGCAAAAAACCTTAGCGGCTATATTGACTATGACCCCCAAAGCAAATGCCATTGACTGACATTTAATAGCCGTTCATTAAATTATCATTTACTTTTTTTTTACTTTCATGGTACACACCAATGCCGAAGAAAGTTAAACCTTGAAAATGATTTATGGATAGAAAAAGGGGATAAGGGAAAGGCTTTATGGGTTTTCATTAAAGATAAAGATTCTCTGAAAAATATTTATAAATTACACAAGATTTAAAAAATATGAAAACTTTAAATAAGGAACATATATTTATAACTAATTAACTATTGCGTTACATGCATAGCACATAAATATAAAGAAATATTACCAAATGTATAGTTCAAAAATGAGAAAGCATGTCTTAAAGCATTTACGAGTTAAAGTCAAGGACGAAACTCAATACCTATAATTGACTGTTTCGACTTTTCACGCTAAAATATTACATAATTATCTTTCAGAAGTCAGCTTGAAGTGCCTGTAATTCTGTAGAAAATATTCATTTTAAATCATGCAACTCATTTCATATTCAAGACCAAGCCACCTAAATACCAAACCAAAAAGGAAGCCCCGAGGGGCAGGAGCCTTCTGACTTGGCCACCCGACGCTGTCCTGTCTGAAGTGGTCATCCTTGAGTCAGGACTAACTTTCCTGAACGGCGTGCGAAGGTAAACATGTTTTGATTTCGATCTGGTAATGTATTATGCATGCCACCAACCCCAGGAAGACATGGAATGCCGCCCTGACCTTGGTGTAGCGGGTATTACCTTCGGCATCTTTAATCTATCAGCCGGCGAGACACCTTTATCGACATCGGAAATGTATGCAAAGTCCATTTGAGCCTTCAATTAGTTAATTTGCCTTGATCCTCCGGATACTTCGGTGTTCGGTGGCTTTACACATTTCAAATTGCCTTTTAATGGTGGCTGATGCTTAAAGCTGCTTTTATTTTTGTTTATTCACCGGTTGAAATTTCATTATTATTTATGCAAATCCAAAATCCTCCAGCAGCCTCATGAAAATGTTGCCAGCAAATTTGTTGGTCCACAGAAAGTGTGGAGAGTACTCAACCTAAGGTGTGTGTGTGTCGCATACATTTTGCGAGTTTTTTCGTTAATAATTTAGTGAACTCCAAATGAATTTGCGGTGAAAGGTCACCAATTAATGTTAATGAAAGAAGTTGTAAGGAATGTGTAACACATACGTATGCATTGGTGTTAATACTGAAATTAAATAAAATTAAATTTGTTTTGAGTTTTTTTTATATAAATTTGTATATTTTTTCCCATTAAAAGAGATAATAGGATTGAAAGTAATTAAAAGAACGCCATTTAGTTTGGAATTAAAGCTTTTTTCCATACATATATCTACCCCTATAATGGCTAACTTTGCGGACATCTGTTGCCGATGCTCTGTCAAAGTTCATTACGTATACGCCTCGTGTTGTCAGACGGAAATTGCACAAGTCAGCAAACACAGTGCAACCAAAGTGCTTGCTTTGTGCAGGTGTTTGTGTGCCAACAAAAGCAGTTCAAACATTTTCCTACACTCGGGCAACAGGATACAGAGGATACAGGGACAGGGCGTTGGAAACGAGTGTTGACAATATCCTGCTTAGTTGAAATTAACAGGTAACAGCCAACTGAGCTGGTAGTAAGTAATTTCATTTCAGGAAATTGAGGTTCAAGTCCTGTTGGTGTCAATTGCACAAGTTACAAATCAAAGTTCTACCAACTACATATTAAATGAAGAGTCTTTGTTAGCAATCATTTGATTTTATTTCCAAGGGGTCATGTAAAAGCAATGAAACGATTTATTGAAGATTAAAATCAGTATCAGTCATAGGAATACCCTTATTAGGTAACCATCCACAAGTAGTTTTATAGATTGGAAGTTTTCTTGATAACATCACCACGATTGCAAATTGGATTGCACTTTCAAGAACATATTTGAAAAGATTAGAAAGAATGAATTAAAAGCTGAAACTGGCGTTTATGGCTTTCATTATACAGCTTACCGTCTGATTTTATAATGATTGATTCATTGAGCAGTTCGAATTATGAGTTAATTAACAACCTTCCACTTCATTTGAAACTCTGAAAAAGATAATTTGCCTTACCTTCAAATAGAATTCATTTATTTTAGTTTTTAGAAACTGTTTCAAGTATGATTTCAAATGTGATTATGAGGAATTAGAGTTCTATCGGTGTTATGGCTGTATTAAGCATTAGCATAAATTATTTTTTACTTCAGTAAACACACATTATTATGAGTAACTTCTTGAAAACTTTTTAATAGAAACTAAGAAGTCTAAGTGTTACAACGGTAAACTTCGAAGGTCGCTTCCACCCAACCTTTAAAAAATAAAATAAAATGACACTACTTTGGCTTTAAAGATAAAGATCTTGAACAACATATAACTATAAAATAAATGTGGCTGATGAGTAATGTTTGTTGGTTTTTGCCAAGCCCTTCACTATAGTTTTTTAGCTTTTTAGTGTGGTTTAATTATTACCTCAACAGGGGTATATAAAACATATATAAGAATATATAATATTATATATATTTTTAGTTCAAAATAATGCCATAGTTTCCTAAGATTGTTGGTCAATCACCATCTACGGGTCATCGAAAATTGCCGGCGCCTCGAATTGTTATTGTATTTTGAAAATGAAAACACGAAAACCAAACAGAGCGGCCAACGCTTCTCGCACAGTCTTACTCTATTCGCCCCTCTCACCCTCTCATTCAACCAACTTACTCTCTCGAGAATGAGTTGTTGCCGCTCAGTTGGCAAGGTCGGCAACATGTTGCTGAGAGGGTGAGAGGGATTACAGCCTGTTGGACTCTTGGCTGCTCAGTCTCAGTTCTGATTAGAACGTGAACGGGTGCGGTTCGCTGACGTGTCGATAGCGGTTTACAAGCGGTTTTAAAGGCGGACGCGTTTTTCGCGCGTTTCCTTGCCAGCGGAAAAATAAAGTGTGTGTGTGCATGAGTTAGTGTGTTAGTGTTTAGTGTTAATGTGAATTTTTTAAACAGCATGTGCCATTGGGAAATGTCTCCACACATATATAAAGGCACGAATATATAAATAAATAAATTTATTGATACAAATGATTAGGAAATAAACAGCGGCAAAGGAGCAAACAATCAACAATAATCATAAGGTAAGATGCACTTCAAATAAGGTGAACTTTTAACAAATAATAAACTTAAATTTATTAATGGCCCACAAAGTTTCCACTCTAAATAAAATAATTCCACGCATAATTATTCCAAATGGAAACTTTTTAACAATAATTGTTGTTAGCCAAAATGGATGTAAAAACCAAAACAAGCTAAAACTAGTTTATAAACAATAAATTATCGATCGAAACCGAAGCGAATGATTTTATTGGTATCTTAAACTTAAAATTTACATCACTTAAGTATTTTATTTCATTGTTAAATTATGAAAACAATTAGTGTTTTCCGATCATTTAAGACAGAAGAAAAAGAAAACAAACGAATACGAGCAGAAATACAACTCGACAACAAAATAAACATCGTGCTTGGGGGACCGGCAAGTGTTTATTCGCGATCTGCTTTCCTATAATCAAGTGTAACTAATTGCCAAGCTCAATAGCAACTGAAATTAGCTAAAAATACAAAAAAAAAAAAAAGAAAAATGCGATGCCGCGACCAAACGAAATCTGAATGCTTGGCGACAGATCGAAATATATATATTCTCCTTTCTCTCTCATTCGCATTCGCTCTTCTCGTTTCATGATAGTGCTAATCGCATCCGATTTCGCTATTCTATAAAATATTTATTTTTATTTGAATTTTCGGTTAGCTGTTTATTAATTAAAACAAAAGGCCGCCGCAGCAGCAGCAACAACAACAAGAAGTGTCCCCAAATTAAAAGTAAAAAAAATTAATGCTGCTTTCAACTTGGCAGCTGGCAGCGAAATTCTGCGTCAGTTCTGATCGTTATTGTTGCTATTTCTTGTTTTTTTCAACATTCATTTTTTTATTTGCAATTTTTTTTCATCAGCCGAACGAGTTGATGATCGCCTGCGTGTGTTTGTCTGATGAAAGAAGTGATACAAGAAAAAACATATGAGTTCGTTTGTGTATTTATTTTCCCGTACAGCTGAGTTCAAGTTATTGTGGAGGGGCTTGTAAAATGCTTGGGAAATGTAAACAAATTTAGGTAAAGATTAATTTTAGGATTAAAACAAACAAAATTTAAAAATATTTCAGTTTACTAAAATCCAAAAAACTGTGTTGGCATAATAATAATAACAAATCAAATCGAAATTTATCAAAAGGAGTCAATAACTTGACTTTTTGTGAATAATTTAAGAAAAGGCAAAGTTCTGAAAAAGTTTATTTTTGGCAAATTGAAAATCTAATTATAGTAATAAAACATAATTCGACTTTAATAGTAGACCCATTATTTTGAACTCAGCTGTTTATTTATTTATCTTCTAAAGTATTTCTCTGTTGACTTTGGCATTATTCGAATTTTTAAGGATTTTTATGTTAATACAGCTTAGGCTCAAAAATAAACAATCTAAAAATAAAAATGGTTCAAATTTATAGATCAATTATGAAATTTAAGATGGCTAAGATTTGTTTTTAAGTTTCTCAAAAAATTTACTAGCTAATTAGGCTCATTAATTCATCCAATCTCTTAATATCAACAACGACCTTTGCCAATGTCCTTCTGTTTATGTTTCATAATTTCAATTTATTTTTAAATCCTAACCACAACACCAACTCATCTGATTCGTTTGCCAAAATGCTGTTGTCTTTAAATAAATCAAGTTATAAAAGTCTTCTCGCAGGTTTTGTTTTGGCTAACGGCTCCGCATTAATAAATTAACGCCCCCACTCAGCGTTCCTCATTTTTTCCAACTTTTATTTTATATCTTTATGGCCAAGAACAACGAGTTAAGATTCTATAAAAAAAAGTGTCATGCTTTGTATATATAGATATATATATATATATAAATAAGTTAAAAAATAAAAACCAAATCAAAGCCACTTGGCATAGGTTGCTGCTGGGCCGATAACAAAAATTGAAGAAGCGTTCGTTGGGTTAATTTTCGGGCTTTTTGGGCAGGGCCATTATCAAAAGGCGATAGCGTCGATAAAATACTTTATTGAAGCCGGCAGTAAGTCCAATAAGACAAATTGTATTCTAAATTTCCTTTTTTTTTTTTTTTTTTTTCCTGCGCCAAACCTTTTTTCATATTTCCTAATCGTATATCATCAAATTATAAAGTGATTGTCAGCAAATGAAATGTTTGGCTTATCAAGAGTTTTTAACTAGGAATGAGTAATACCGCAGACTTTAATAAACATATATTATATTTAAAAATGAAATATTTGTTTGTATGCAACCTGTGGTGAGTCATTATAAAGGTTGCAAGATTTTGTCTTATCTTTTTGCTAGTCTACATTTTAAAGACCTTATCTGCGTTCTTGGTTATAAATATAAATTAATATACATAGTATGTTCTATTTGGGGTTTCGGCTAATTTAGAGCATTTTCAGATCCAACTTTGTGCAGGGGCTTCTGTTCTTTATACACTAGTTAGCCAAGAAAAAGTTTATCAACTTTTCTATCATATAAATTAAGGGAATAAACAAAGTTTATATTAATAAAAGAAATATTTCATGAACATATTTATGATTTTTATATTAATTAGTTCTTAAAATTTGTTGCCAAGTGTACTGTTTGTATGATTTCTGTTTTTTTTTGCACATTTCCTCTGTGACTTGACTTTGTCAAGTTTAAAAAAATTTGTGAAAATTGCGTTTTTATTTACGTACACACAGAAGTGCAGCAGCACTGTTGTGTTTGTTGCTTTTCCGCAGGTCACACAGCTTCTTATTTTCACAAGATCTCCCCTGCTATATACTAGTATTAACCCATATATATATGTACAAACATAAATGTGAACGAAGCTTATTTATATTTATTTCTCGTTTGAATTTAATTAAATTTGCACATTTGTGTTAAATTTTCAACACATGTGTCTCTGTCCGTCTCTCGTGGTTGAGTGTATGGGTGTCTATCTATGAGGGACTTTATGTCAGTCGGTGTTTGTGTGCCCCCTATGTGTCAACCTAGACGCCTAATCAAACAGCAACAACAACAAAGGCTATATAAGCCAAATTCCAAACCATGCACTGAGAGAAATAAGTAAAGAAATAAGAAATGAATTTGGATAAACGGTAATTAGAAGTTTGAAAAGTTTATTTTATGTAAGGGAACAACATTATTATTTTCTAATAATTTATAAAACCTATCATTTTTTTTTTCTCTCTGCATGACACAGCAGACAGCCTCTGTAGAAAAATTATAATGAACATGTGTAATGATGGGGAACCAGAGTAGAGCAAAACCCAAATAAACACAAACAAAAATTAAGTTAAAAAATGTAACAAAAAAAGAAGGCGGATTTACTAAAAACATTCTCAAGGGATTTGCTTGTAATCAACACAGATTAAAAGACTATAAAAATAATAATAAAGCTAAGAACGAAACCTGTTTCGTGTTAATTAAGTGCAATTATTAGAAACAATGTCTTAGCTTTAAGACTAATGTGAGAAAGTGTTTTGAAATTGTGATAGAAACCGATTAAATGCTGTTGTAATTGATAAATTACAAAACGTCGTAGATCGTTGCCATTAAATTGAGATAAATAAATTGCGAATACAGAGACACATTTTTTTTTTTATCAAACTAAATTGCTTTCAATAAAAGTTTCACTTATTTACGAACAGTTTCCGCAGCACAATTTAAATTCTTTCTCTAAATTTCATGGCGTTTCATATGGCATTTATCTAGCTGGCGAAAAAACATACATACATCACCTTTAAGAATTTTAAAATAATTGTGAAGAATAATAAATATCAAGAATTAAAATGTGCAATTCATGGGATTTAAATGCAAATATTTCTTTGTTTTATAGAATATTTAATGAGCCACTTAATTAGATTCCCCTCCCTAAACTCTACTATTTAACTTCCACATTGGGATTTGAATTTTTTTAATCACTTTTCTTTTATCTATTTTCCTCGGAAGGTGCAGTTTGCTTACGTTGCTTGCCACCCGTTGACGTAAATAATTTGCAGCTCGAACTTTGCTGAAATATTGCCCATAGAAATTTGAAATTTTTGCAATCAATTTCTAAGCGTTGCGAATTTGTCGAAAGTTCTTAGACGTAGATTTGTAAGCATTTCCTTTCACACTTGTCCGTATTGAGAATGTCAAATATGATCGTGGAACATTTTTCAACAGATTGCAAATTGATTTATTTGGCCAGACTTTTTGGCCATAATGCAGAGGCCGCAGCCTCGCCAGAAGCCAAAAATTGATTATATTTGCACAAATCTTTGGGCTGGGCCGCTCCACTGGTCCTCGCCAAATGGGCGCGAAATTTAATTTTATGGCAAATCAAGTTTGTCTTGCACATTGCACAAATATTTCATTCTGACACAAACCCATGCACTAGTAAGTATTTCAAGAAATTAAAGAATCCAAAATGAATTGCAACAAAACCAAAAATCAAAATCTGAATCAAAAATCCTCATGGAAAGCGATTTTCTGCATTTCGGAAACTCACAATGTTTTGCCATTGTTTATTTGTATTCTTAATTACCTGTTGTTTTGCTTTGGCAGCCCCGCTTGCCTTTCCTTTTTTCCTTGATATTATTTTGTGTTTTTGTTTTTGGCCAAGCTTATTTTTAGACTTTTGAAGTCGCCGGACTTTAATGGCCCGGCGGTAGCTAATAAAATCGCTTAGCACATGTTTCAAACATTTTTCTTTTTTTGGATCCATAAATGAGCAATTAAAGCATAACTTAATGCGATCATCCCAGGGAATGGAATGCAGATGCCTATGGTTTTATGGGTTACTGGAGAGAGACATTTAATTAAATTGTCCTATCAAGGTCTTTGTGCTTAATGGGGTTGTCGGAAAGTCGGATCCCGAAAACGGTTAAAACTGGTTTAGCTGGATCAAATTGGTTTTTTGGTACTTCAGTGTAGTGAGAATCGACTGCAATATGCAGTCATTACTAAAAGCCTATACTGTAAGGGGATCTTCTATGTGGTTTATATGGTCAAAAGATATATAAAATCGGATTATGTGTTTATAAGCTGTGTGAT